AAAAAAATTTTTTTTAATCAAGCCCCCCCCCCCGGTGAAGGGTGTCCCTCTTTTCCAAACTGAAAATCTGGTCACCTTATGTAATAAATAGAATATGTGAATCAATTTTATTAATAATTCAAGATTGGATAGATCCCTGCAAAATGAACTACCAAAGGAGCAGCAGTATGACTTATAGAAAAGTGAATCCACCTGTAGAATAAATAGATTTCAACCTGTCCTTCTCATAGTACAGAATAATGAAAGGCCAGTCATATTAATGAAACAAATATTTAAGTACAACGACAATAAAGATTATACTTATTACTGTGCACACTTACTTTAATGTGGAACCTATATACTCATATCTTACTTAAATATGGAACATGTATACTCATAAATCTGACTCTAGAAAACATAGAAATGAAATTGCTCTTAAGTTTAACTCCTCTAAGTAATGGAATAATTTAGGTTGGATCACCTAGCCATCCTGGGTAGGCAAAGCAAAGTAGGACTTGATTAATACTTGGATTAGAAGCTTTTATGAAATACCAGGACTGTATACTAGTTTGAGAAGTTAAAAAAAATCCTGAGAGAAAACAATGTCAAATCATTTCCCATGATACTAGGAGCTGAGTTAAATATTCACATAGGTATTTAATGAAGAATAGTAGGCTAGAGACATTTGAACATTCCTCAAAACAGCATGATACACAGGGGAAACTTCTGACAGAAACTAATATCTATAGTATTGGGGGTGGGGAGTAGGGAAGTATATAATCCTATTAACTGAGTTATTTATAAAAAATAATGATAAAGCTAGGATAAAATAATAATAGCAGAGCAGAAGAGGAAGAACTGGGGAAAAAAACCACAAAATATAAGGACATGCAAAAAGAAATAGAATGACTGTGATAAAAAAAACAAAGTATGAATATCACTAGGCATTCTGTGTGCAATTCCAAAACAATTGTAGCACCACTTGAATACTATCAGCATTGACAAGATTACTATCAGTCAATTGTAAAATGCAGCTTTACTTGTAATAGCTGACATCTAATGCCATTAAACAAGATCTGTCTGTCCCAAAGACTGAATAGGTTGATAAAAATACCAAATCCAATCTAAACATTTGGCTTACTGTGCAACCAACCATAATGATATAATAATAAGAAAACCATTTGGCTGAACACACTTAGTTTGGGTATTAAGTGCCAACTGATTTTGAGGGTAAGGGCAAAGCCAGTGTTGGAAGAAATGTCCATCTGGGTTCAGTTCCAAGTGGCGGAAAAGACACTGGAAACATAGTGGCTGTTTGGAAAGAAGGTTTTACGGTTCCACCACAAAACCGCGGACAACAAAATCGCGCTCGACGAAAGCACGTACGTGACGTCATCACAGCGCAACGAAAACATCGCGCTGTGATCGATAAATGTAAAAATAAAGCGAAAACCTTACCCTA